CCTTCGCATAACTTTCACTCTTGTCAGTTGCAAATTACATCGCACGTCTGCAGCAGCAGCAGGAGCAGCAGGAGCAGCAGGATCAGCAGGAAGGAGAGCGACTAAAGGGTGTCGTAATTTAAAGCTTATTTTGACACTTCACCCCCGTCGAAAGCCGCTGAAGGAGCGAGAACTGTAGCTGTAGCTGATGCTGGAGCAGCAACAACACCCAATTTGCATCTTTCAAAATCGTGTTTTGTTACATTTTGTGCATGCGCAAAAATTTGCATACGACAATTAACACTCCAAAAAGGAGACTCACATGTGCCCTGCTCCTGGCTCCTGCCTGGATCTGTGTGTGTGTGTGTGTTTAGCTTATCCCTCTGCACTTTGCACAAATGCAACAGTCCTGCTGCCTCCCGTACCACATTGCGTATGCGTAATTTGGTGTCTTCTACTCAACGGCAAGAAAGGCAAAGGGGAGCAGACGGACGAGTTGCAGTGGGATATGTTAATGGAGTTGCTGTTTGAAAAGCAAACCAACCTAATGAGAATTTGTAAATATTTGCACAACACAACAATCTTTTGTTCACAGTGCACACAGAAACAGAGAGCCAACTAAGGATCAACGAGAGATTTAATAGGAAATTGAAGAGGAGAGAGTTATCGTAATTTAAAAGATATTTTCTATATTAATTACTTGATTTCTATAAATATAATTCTTAAATATAATAAACTTTCATCTATCTCTGATAAATCTTAACAACTTTCCAACTCTACTCTTCAATTTACTCAACTTTTTGTTGCGAAATTCCTGAAAATCCACCCCGTTTCTGCATTCAAAAACCCTTTCCCTTTGCCGTGCTGGGGTATATCTTTAAGCAAATTAAGAACCGCAATCAGCCGCAAACAATTCACACAGAAATCGAAACGACAGAGATCCGAAATCCTGCCAGTATCCTGGGCAAAGGGTTGCAAGTTGGCCAAAAGGAGGGGCAGCCACGAGAGGGAGGAGGAGATTGTTGTTTGATGGCGATGCCAAGAAATGTCATGATAAGCGCGATACGGGGGAAAGGGTTGAAGCGGAACTGGAGAGTGGAGAAAGGAGAGTGGAGGAGAGTGGAGAAGGAGAGTGGAGAGCACACACACACAGGGGCATGTTCATGCACACATACACACTTAATACGCTTAATTGACTTTCATGTATGCACGAGTGAATGCAGCGACATGACAGCGACCAGGAGAGAGAGAGAGAGGGGGCCCGAAGGGACCCATGGCTAAAAGAGGGGGGAGGAGGGAGGTAGGAACTGGCATGTTGGCCAAGCTGCCACTGACGCCAAAACTCCTGAACTGCTGTTGCCAACTGATGCGAACTCATGCGACTGGTGGCAGGCATTAGCGATGCGAAATGGTCTCCAAAATTAGGCACAGACCGACACCACAAAAAAAGGCGACTAATCCCAAAGCCAAACATCAAATAGTAAACACCAAAATAAGACAAAAGGCAAGTGAGAAACAATTGAAGAGGAATTGGAATCGATAGAGGGATACCTATTAAATGATGAATTAATTTAATTTCTACAAAGAATATTCATCTCTTTCAGTAAACCTTCACTTAAATCATACAAAACTTGCAAAGAAACTGCAACATTTTACTCGTGCCACAAACCCATTTTGTGTACTTTTATCCTCTTGAGTATTTACCGGGCCAAAGGAAACCCCAAAATAAAAAGAGTGCTAAATACAGGCATTCCGGGGAAGGCATTCGAGCCATAATCGCTGGCAAATCGGTTACAAAAGGTTTCGGAAAAGTCCCCGATCTCTAAACCCCTTCGGGGCTTCCCCCTTTTGCACTCACTCTCTCTCTCTCCGTGCTGCTGCTGCTGTGGCATTCAATCACCGATTCACTTCATTGAATCACTTATTCAGTATTTTGCCATTGCAAATGCCGATGTTTCATCATCATCATATCACCTCCCCCCTGGAATGGATGGATTTTCCACCGCACCTCCTCGTCACGGCCTCGATTTCGAATGGTGTTTGGTATTGTGTGGATTTTGTGGCTCTTTTCTAGCACCTTTCTCCAATGTGTGGTGTGTGGAGTGTGTTTAATGGGTGTTTTTGGGTTGTGCTGCGAATCGCATTTGAATTTGACTGCAAAACTTGACAATTATGCTGGCGCTTCTTTTCAATGGCTTTAATCCTGTCATATTTGCGGCGAATGCTAAATATGCATGTCGATGTCGATGGTGAGGAATTATGTCAATGATGGTCGGGTTTTATCAACAATATGGTGTTGGTTGTTGCGCTAAAATCTAGTATATATTGCTATTTAATTTATCAATATATTAAACACTTGAAATTGATTTGCAGAACTTAATATATCAAAAGGGAATAAGGAATTTCCTAGTTTTTAAGTAACTTTTGAGCTAAAAACAGGTTATTCTAATTCATATTTCATCATTCTTTGCCCTTACATAATCTGTAAGTGCATTAGCATCCTCCTTTGACTACTGCTTGCACTTTGACAAATAAGATCTGAACAAGGACACATCTCCTGGAGTCGCTGTTGTCTCTCAGTTATTTGTCTTGCCAACACAGGCGTTGGCTCTGAATAAAGTCAATGTCAGGACATGAAACTCAATTACACTCCCGTCCTTGTACCTGCGAATAAAATACACTCAAAGAATACCAGGAGCAGGGAGGAGGAGGATGTTACATCACATATCACTTTTATTTATTTACAAACTCTCTCCTCCTGACACAAAAGCATAGCACATAGACTTCTTTATCTGTGGATGGATGTAAATTGCATACCCTCTTTATAAGGGTTACCTTTGTTAAAGTAAATATTTAAATAAATCAAAATTGCATTGCTTCATAAAAATTCAACTTTAAGGCTATGTAAAATAATTGCTAAGTAAAGAAATGAATGTAATAAACTTTAGTATTGGTTTCATTTTTATGCCGCAGATCAACTTTAAAAATTACATAAATTCAAAATCAATACAATTTCCAGTTTATGAGCTTTTTAATTACAGACTTCAATTTCGGCAGTAGCCAAGTTTTTATGGTTCATATCTGATACGGAGACTGGTTTATAAACGACGAATCAATAAAACTGCTTTGTTAGCCACTACGAAAATATCGATTTGTTAATTGTGAAATATTGGTTCAGCTTGTGATGTAATTTGAACAAATATAAACATAAACTATGTATAAACTTTATATAAAGTGTAATTTATAAACATTTAATAATTTAAAAAATTTCTAAATCTATCTAGCTTTCCACATACATTTTCTTTACATTTTCCTTTTAAAAAGAGTATAAAATGTGGCCTCTTTCAAGCAGCTTCTTTGGTCCAATGTTTATGTGAGGGATCAACAAAAGGATACAGAGACACACACACCCACACACACACACACACACAGAGAAAGAGAGAAGCTGAGGCAAACATTTTGTGCAGCTGCAGCTGGCGCATAATGAGCGCAAAAACATCCTGTGCTGATTGTCTGTCGTCTTAGCTCACTGAGAAAAATATATAGGCAGGTTTTCTCTAAATTTATAATAAATAATTAGAAATAAAACAAACAAGCCAAAGTAAAGGGTGGTAAGTATTTTAATTCCACTCAAAATCTTGACTGAAAGAGAAATATTTCAAAACAAGACCTAGAAGTATTTTAATTGGCATAAAATTGCAAATAACATTTTCCTAGCTTCCTTATTTATTTATTTTATTAATTTATATGACATACTAGTTATTTTTATGAAAATTATCCCTGTTCTTTTCTCTGATTCATATTTTGCAATGCTTGCCAAGGCAAGATTTGTGCGCTTTTAGCGACAACGCAAAGTTTCCTTGGCCGCTCTTCATATGATTTTATTTTATCCTGTGTGCTGTTTGCTGACTTTTGAACGCGGCCAGGACATGAATGCGAATGCGAATGTGTCCTGGGTCGTCCTCTCATGAGTTCAGTCGGCGTGTCGCCAGTTTTGTTGACTCCCCGTCGAGTTTTAGCGACATGTGTCGCATTCTTCGCATCCTGCCAAAGTTAAATGGATCTCGTAATTGTTGTGCCCTCGTCCCCCGTACTGGTTTTCTTTTCGTATTTTATATTTTTATTTTTATAGAAATTGCGGTTTAATTGCTGCATTTTAAAGCCATTGAAAGGACAGAGACATGTATAACACGATACTCGCTGTGACGGCTTTGTTGTTCCGTGATTTTCCCCCAGAAATGAAGAGAGAGAGAGACAGCTCACCCCTTTTGTGTGTGTGCTTCGAAGGTTTTCATGGGGGTGAAAACACTTGCCAGGGACCCAGAAGGACCCTTTTGATTCCTTGGCTTAAGTGTGTAAGGATGCTGGGAATTCGGTTGCCAGTCAACACCTCTCAGGTGGTCAGGCAAAGTCAATCGATTTCACACGCGACTCTTAAGGGATTAGGATGGGTTTTGATAAGTTTCTTGGTGAATTTGATGAAATCCTTTTAATTAGGAAAAAGCACCATTATTTAACCATTTTTAAATTCAATTTCCGTTTTGATTCCGCCATGAAAAGGCTTACTTTGCATGCTGCAAAGTTGCAGGATCAATCCCATCAATGACGATTGAATGGCAACTTTGTGCATAGAACTACCTCTCTGCCTTGCATTAAAACCCAAATCGTTGAGTGCTAAAAATCCATGCAAATAGCATCCTGAATCCTGAATCCTGCATAATGCAGCCTGCAGCCTGGATTCCTGCAGCCCCCTTCAATGGCAATTTTCCGTGCAGTTGCATTTGATTCTGACGTTTTTTTTTTACGATTCGCGGGGAAGTGAACTGGTAATGAAACGTCTATAAAACTCAAACGAATGCACACAAATCGCACAAATCATTTATCATAAAAGCGCATAGTGCATTTTCCACATCCCCTTTAGCATTAACCGATTTTTCTTTTTCCCTCACCCCCACAGCCTTTTCCCAATGAATGCTCCGCTGAATGTTTTCCACTAATCAGGGGACTTTTGTTCAACTCACCTGGGCAATAGAAGGGGGCAGGAGACGCAGAATCTGGCTGGCGGAACGTAAAAGGAAGCTGCAAGTAGAGTAAAGAGATAGATGCGAATTAGAGACTAGGAAATTGGAAAATGGGCCAGTGAAAAGAATAAGGAAATGAGTGCGGGTAACCAGCTCAACTTGTGGCACAAAAGCCGTCAGGCCACTGTCGAATTAATTACAAACTCGACTCAAAATGCATAACACACATCAAAGTGGAAATTAATTATTTCCCTATTAGCTGCCGCTGCTGGAAAATGCGAAGCTGTTTCGGTGGCAGTTTTTAGCCGATCGGTAAACACGTTGACAGATTGCCAGCTATATATACATTTGGCCTAAATGTTCGAGAGTGGCGGTTATGAAAATGTATTAACAGGAACTGCTTGGCTGCAATGACTAGACTAAAAGTCGCAAAATAATCCTTCAATAGCCCGAACACATAAAGATGTCGATTTAATAATTTCACTTTTGATTAAAGAAACAGTTTGCAATTTGGCAGCAGTTATTAAGTGTCACATTTTAATTCCAGTTGTCCAAATTGTTAATGGAAACTAAGGTAATTCAATCGGTAATAACGATTTTCGAAAGTCTTTAAGTCGCATTTGGGAATTTATTGAAATTTTTGTTAAAATTCAAAGATTCATGGTTTCTGATTGCTTGAAAATATATAATAATAGTTTTAATAGATTCTCTTAAAAGCATGTACACTGAATCAATAATTGTAAAAACAAATTACAAGAACTTTTAAGTCTTTAAAGTACCCCTTTAAAGCATAGTATAATTTTATGGCATTTAAAATTGCTTAAAAATATATGTAATAAATACAAAGGCATATACTTTCCCTTAACTTTAAATAGTGCCTTTGAAGACCATTAAAAAAAAGTTTTAAAAACTTATATTTGGAATAACAAACTTATATAATATATAGGTAAATAGTTCCCACTGGGCAAAACGTTTTTAATAGTTTCTTGTAACTTTAAAGTTGAATAATTTAAGAGTTCCACCTGAATAAATTCTAAAACTGTTAAAAAGTAAATAATCGTTTCTTTCTATACATTTCAATAATAATTAATATTAAAAAATATATATCGAAATATTATTCGAAAGTCACATAATTATTATATGTTTTTATGGTAAAGGAAATCAGTTTTTTAAAGCTGTGCTTTTTTTAATAGTTGTGTGCATTTTATTGCCATGATCATTGCACAATTTCATTACTCGGTTTTAGGTTGCACTTTCGCATTAGGGATTAAATAATAATAAAAAGGCTAACCACTTTCTAGTCGTCAGGTTTTGTTGACCATGTGTCATGTTTGGGTATTATATTTCACCTTCCGCATCAATATACCGCACAGGAGGGTGCCCCATTCCTCAATCCTCATTGCACTATGAAAAAGAGGGCGGATTTAGTGTATAGCAACGAGTTGTGTGTTAAACACCAAAATCACTTGATATTCGACACTAAAGCATAGCCAAAGGCCAGGACAGTTTTCGTTGGGAAGGCAATGGCGATGCCATAAACATTTTAGTGTCTGCAATTAATGAATACCCGACGGTGACGTGGGACAGGTCTCCTATCAACTCTCGCCGTTGTCATCTGTCAGTTTCTCAGCTGGCTTAATTTACGACTTAATGCCCACGACTAAAGGCTAGATAGGATAGATTTATATAAGATAAAGTTGTTTGCCCCAAAAGGAAAAAGAAAACATAACTAAAAGCGTATCGTTCGTGAAAACGAGAAGCCTGCAGACAGCTTAAATGCAAACGCAAGTTGAGGTGTGGATTTGCAATTAAAATAGTTCGATTTATGGATAGCAAATCGCCCATAAAAATAGCTAATTCATGCTGGCTATAGAAAGGGAAGTTTTAATCGAAAAAAATGCGACTATTAAGCTTAAGAAAAACTAATTGTGGAATTTATCAACTTCAGAGGGTGTGAAATCAATAAATAAAGCGAAAAGTAAAATAAGTTTGCCAGGAAATTTTTTTTAAAGATAAAGATATAAAACATAAAGATAGGGTTTAGAAAAATAACTAAAACCTGTAAAATTGTTAATATCAAATTCTAGGAACCCCAATACTTTTAAGAAAATGTAGATTATAAATATATATAAATATATTTGTATGAATATAATAAACTTCAGTTAGGAAACAATATTTCTATTTTGGAGACATGTATACCTTATATATAACTTATGTATACCTTTAAATACCCTCAGTTTTGGTAACATTTTATCTTAAAACAATACCACAACAAAGCTGAAATACAATTAAAAAAAATAATAATATAAACTAAATAGATTGCAAATAAGTAAAAACCTGAAAACTAAGGAATTACAACCCTTTTTTGGCTTTCATTATTTCTAAGCTTCAATCAATTAAATTTATACCCCACGAAGAAATTCCTAAAGCAGCAAAAACAGCAGGACAACTCCTCTATTTAGACCAGGTTAATTGTTTAGGCCAAAAACTGTTGCTGCTAGGAAAAAACGTCAGCAAATCGAAACGGAGAGCTGCAACTGCAATTGGACCTGAAACTGGCACTGAGACGGCCAAGAGATGCAAGTAACAACTAACAACTGGCAACTTTATGGGCCAATCTACTGCTGCCAATGAACGGAAACAGCAAAGGCACACAGCTGGATGCTGGAAGATGGAAGCTGGCGAGATGAGAACCGAGAAAGTCACGGCGGGAATGGGGAAATGTGCTTGGTGACGGAGAGTCGGAAAATTGTGGGGTGGACCAACATCTGGCCGAGGGCAATGCGAATGTTGTTCGACAACAACTGTAGCAACTGCAGCAGAACAGCAACAACTATATATATATATATATATATATATATATATAAACCAACTTGGAGAGACTCTGAGACAGCTATTGAAATCTGCTTTGCTGATTGACGTCGAATGTTGTGGTTTCGGTTACGATATTTGGTACCAAAATACAACCAACACTCCCCAGCCACGACCAATGTTGTTGATGATGATGATGATGATGATGACTGCCAGGATAATGATTATGATGTTGGTGTCCTGCAACATAGTTTGGAATTTGTTTTAAGAGGCCAACGAAACGGCAGCAGCAGCAGCAGCAACTTCCTTTGTTGCCGAGAAGCAGCTTCCAATAAATTAAAGACAAAACCCAATGCAAATTTTCAGCTGCCTCAAAGGCTAATCAGAGAGAATTTCTAAAAGGGAGCCAAGTCTTTATTTAAATGCTTTAAAATTAAACAAAATAAAGTGATAATTTATATAGGTTTAAGTAAAAGTAGCTTTATTAAAGGAAACATATATAAAAGTTCCAATACAATATTTTTTATTGAATAAATAATAGTTGAATGTATTTTTAAATTCAAATAATTAAAAATTAAATGAATTATATTAAACTTAAATGAGTTTACAGTAACACAGGAACTGTAGACAAAGTATAATTAATTTTAAATAAATTGACTAATTTTATTGTAAATAATTAAATTTAAATATATTTATTGTCATAAAATATTGCAACTATTTAATTTAACTTTTTTAATTTGCTTACACTTTATAGTAACTTTATTATTTACTTTTATATGACTTTATGTTCTATTAAAATATTTATTTTATATTGCAAATTTTGTATAGTTAAATTATATAAACAGATATTGTTTTAAAGACTTAAAGCTTGTTTGAATGTTTTTTTTTTAATTTAATATTTTTTTATTGATTATGATTAATATTTATATATTTATTTAATAACAAAATATAATAATATTATAAAGTTAACAAGTTATTACATTAGAATAAGATATATTTTGTATTGTCAAAATCTCTAGGGACTGATTATCTTTTTCAAAATTCAAAGTTTACTTATTTTTAGTTATAATTTATTAATGATTATTAAGTATTTATATTATAAAGTTAACAAGAATATTACATTTTAATAAGAATTGGAAATGTGAAATATTTTTTTATCTAGCTTATTTATTTTTCTATTTTGTTTAAAACTTTTTAAAATTTTGAATTCTTTCTGTAGAATTTTCAAAGTATGATTTGTTTTAGTATAAAACTTTTATCGTTTTTAAAAATCTTAAGATCTAAATAAATTTAACATTTAACTGATATATAATTATTTAATTTTTAAGTATATTAATATGATTTTGACATATGAAAAGTATATTGAAATTCAAATATTTGAAATATTTTTAAAATATATTTGCTTCTTCGTTTCTGTTCTTAACAATTAAAGCATAATTAAATCATTATTCCATGTGCTAAATGCATTATAACATTAAATGAAAAATGTATTTATTGATTTATGAAAAAATTAAACTTTAAACTAAACTAAAAATTATTAATATATAATTTTATTTTGGTTTATTTTTCTCTTTTCTGATGCTTTAGTTTCTTGAATTCTTTATATACTTTCTATACCTTTCTTTTATAGTCTTTTCTTAATGTTGTAAGTTTCTTGAGCTTGTCACACAAAATCTTCCTTTTTAAATATATGTTTATTTTTAATTTATTCACTTTAAAGTCCACCGACACTGAGTCCTTTTTTTTTTTTTTTTTGTTTTTTGTTCACTTGAAATTCATTTCCGAATTTTTCTCAAATAAAACACCGATCGGGAGGCAAAAGATCGCGAGCTGAAAAAACGCGCGCGCAACTTAGAAGCGAAGAAGAACGGGGCCTCAGGACTACAGACAAAGGATAAAGGATAATAGCTATATATTTATATATTGTATATATGTATATATAACTATATAATTCCGGCTGAGGGAAGCTGAGCGAAACTGCAAACTGCAAGCGCGACAAACGGATGCCCTTTGGCTGGCAACGAACTCTAAATTCTACGGATTTCGTGGAACGACTGAAGTACCGTACGTAGAGGAAGTCGGCTGGAGACTGAAGGCAGTCACAGAATCGGTCTCGGTCTCGGTCGCGGTCTCGGTAACGGAATTCGTTTCGGAAACGCAATTTTGAATGCTAAAAGCGGGGCGGCACTTGCAGTCGCAGTGCGCTTCTTACCCGTATTGCTATGTAGTTGCAGCTGTAGAAGCTGGTAGCTGGTTGCTGGTAGCTGTTCGAATCGCTCCAAGAACACACTCGCTCGAAGAAGAACCATCGAGCAGCCCGAAGACACGAGGCCAAAACCCAATAGTTGCACTCGACGCTGGCGTCGCTGCTGGCGCACAATTGCAGTTTGCACTCGACACGAACCGAGTTCGGGTTTCCCTTCGGTTCTAACTCAACACGTTCGGTAATACCGGTAATATTCGTATGCAACTAACATTCCAGGAAATGTTAAGCTAACAGAACTGTTAAGACAGGAAATAAAAAATCAAGGAAATGGCAGCTACAAGCTCAAGAGAGGAAGTCTCTCTCTCTCTCTCTCTCCCGCTCTGGTCAAGTGAAAGTGAAAGAGTGATTTTTTTTTATGCAATAATTACTCAAAAACTAAGGCCGGATTGTGTTAATTTATATGTTTTTAAATATTTGTACACTTTTAGCATGGTTTCCCCTGGCTTGGGCCAAGCAAATATCAAATATTTGTGCAATTCAGTTTCAGGCGCTTGTTTCCATATTTTGCCATATGTTGTTTACCCCAAAAGTGCAATAACAAACAAACACACACACACACACACACACTTTTGAGTGGCTGTTATGACACTCTTGCAAGTGTAGTAAAGCTCTCTGGCCTCTCTTTTCCGGCTATTCAGAGCTCTTTCTGTGGGCGGAAAGCTCTTAAGAGGCAAGCTTGCTGAGCGAAATGGAGTGGAAAGCTATTGAGTGCAAGTGTCTGTTCCCAGTATTTTTATGCTTACATGTGTTAAGGGGAAATTTGATGATTTTTAAGTTTATAAATCATAGAATAGATTTACAAATGATTTTTAAATATTAAAATATATACAAATCATTGCCATTAATTTATTTTAAATTTTTAATCATATTTTGTAATATTTTATTAATTTCTTTCTTTATTTTAGAGTTTCTGTTAAAAATGTTAAGAATCTTCGAAACATTTTTCCATAAAAAATAAAATAGCCTAAGAGGTATCCTTTAACCCCTAATAAATATTATTTTCATCTACCATTCCTGAATTCAGCTGAAAAAACACTTTTAATTATTTTCCTTTCTTTCCTTTTTTTCCCCCGGTTCAAAGCCAATTTTCCTTTCGCTTTTACTCATTTCCCAGCATTCATTTAAATTCTGACTTATCAAAAAATAAAAATGGATAAAAAATAAATAGAAAAGAGAGAAATAGATGAAGAGGCAGAGAGAGATGAAAAGACGCTGCACTGCCCAGTGAAGTTGAAAATAGTTTCCTTCCTTGGCGACCGCAGCAATTTCCACAGGCACTTGCTCATTTTCAGCTGCCACTGAATTTGCATAGCCATTTAAATATTAATTTCAAATTGTCTAAGGATCTCAGGCCCCCGCGCCCCCTTTTCCCTTTTTCCGCCCACTTTCCCGACCTTTCCTGGGGGTTAAAGCAGGCAACAAACAAATTAATGGTTCTGCAGCTCAACCGCATTTTGCGGTCTTGGCTCTTCTCCCTTTTCTCCCATTTTATATTTGCTGCTATGCTGCTTTTCCTGCTGATAAGCTTATAAGTGAGTGTGTTGTGTGTGTGTGTATGTGTGGAAAACTAAAGCAAAATGCAATGATATTTTCCAGCTGAATTAATAATACACAACCAAGTGGCTGAGTTGGAGATTTGTTCACGAAAAATTTAATTAGTTTAAGATTCTTTTTTTAGACAAGGAAATAAGTATATTAATATGGAAATTATTCAAAATATAATATATATGTAATTTTCTATTATAAAATATTTTTTCAAGTTTCTAAAATATAGATTTACATTTTTAATAAATGTATAACTCTTTTTTAAAACGTTTTTACCCCTTTCCTAGCAGTATTTACTTTATAATAATAGTTTCAAACTTTTAGCATATAAATCAAATATAAATTACTAAGATATAAATATTAATTTCCTTTTAGACTCGAAATTAAGTCAACTAATAATAAATCTAAACTTTTCTACTTATTATTTATATTATTATTACTACTAAGTTATTATATATCTTAAAATGAATTGGAAAACTTCAAAAGATCCTATCAACTCCTGCAGTGACGCATTGCATACTTCTCGGCTTTGAGAATTGCACCTGAACCTGGAAAATTCAAAGCCAAAAACTCATTTGCCTTCTCATGACTATATTTTTGTCTCGCCTTTCACCTTTTCCTGGGCTACTCCTCTCTCTCTCTCTCTCCCTCTCTCTTGCACCCTGATCTGTGAACATTATAAATTTCAGTCATGTTTCTAATAACTTTGAATTAATCATCTTTTCCGGTTTTGCTTTAGCCGAGAGGAGTTTTTCGAGTGGCAAAGGAAAAGCTTGGGAAACACGCACACGTCTCTGCGGCAAACTTCTTGGCATTCTAATGCGTTTGCTGGGGGTGAAGTGTTGCCTTGGTGTTGCTCACACTTTAAAGTTGGCCTTTAGCCACAAGGAATGAATTGTAATCCCAATGGAAATTGGCCAGGCTTATGCAAAAACCTGCAAAAATGTGACAAAAGCTGGGCAAAAGTATTTTTGAGCCTGCCTTCCGGTTGCCGGCTACTCTCTCTCTCTCTCTCTTTATGCTTAACATCCGGTGGCCATTTGATCAACTTGTGGCACCAACACACAAACATACACACAGATAAAGAGACTTTGGTGACATTGGCAGACAGTGTTTGCTGTTGCTTTCCTATATATTTTTTTAAATGCAAGACATGCTGTCTTTTAGCCATGTGCCATCTCAGCAGCAGCCACAAGCCAGAAGCCAGTTTTTCTTAGCCCTCGCCTTTAGCTGGTGTAAATTACAGCAAATATTGCGTATACGCCACGTTTGCACTCTGCCAAGGCACTGAGGGAAAAATTATGATTATTATGTCTATGGGGTTAAATTTAGTTAAGAAATCTTTTAAATATTATTAAGTGACGTAAATTGTTATTAACACAAGAATATTTATAGGATTTAATGTATTTTAGCCAAGATTTAAAAATCTATTTAAATGTTATTCAAGCAGATCTATTGATTTTGTTCTTTTCTATTTACAAAATTAATATTTATTATATTAAGATGAATGTAAAAATGTATAAATAATGCACATTGTTTTTAGAAGCTACCTATACAAATTAATATATTATTTCTAACTCAGAATCAATTTAGAAGTAATAAAAAAGAAATGTTTTATGTTTTATGAGTATAACATCTAAATAATGCGAAGAAATATTAATACCAAAGTATAATACTATGAATACTTACTAATATTTAACATATTAATTACTCACTTCTGGTAGAAAAAATTTAGTAATTAATGTTGAATTATATTTTATCAATCCTAAGAATGATACTCTTGTACATTATTATTTTAAAATACTACCTAAAAAATTAAATAAATTTATTGTCGTACAAAATGTAATTTAGAAATACTGTGTTATTAATACTATAAATAATTAATACCATATTTCTGGTTAAAAATTTAGTGTAACATAGAAACAAAGTAATGATAATTAAATAATTAAAATTTAATAAATCGCTCATCTTTTAATATCTTTTAAATTTAAATAATAAAAATTGTCTTTTACTCATTTCTTGCCTTACATTATTCGACACCCTTTTTTTTCTCAGTGCCTTACTTTAGTTGTAACGCTCAAAATGAGATGCCTTTGGTGCTGGCTGCTGGCTTGTTTGTTCGTTTGTCAGTTGTTGCTGTTTGGCAAATTATTATTAAGTAAGCAGTCTAGACACTGCTCTTCGCACACCCAAACACCCGAAACCCCGAAACCCCGAAACCCGAAACCCCTCCAGCTTAATAAATTTTTGTGGGTTTCGTGTTTTGATAACTTGAAACTTTGTCTCGCTCGGACAGGTGTGGGCTGAGGAGAAAGAGACTTTCTGGCACACTTTATCATCATTAGCTGGCGAGCAAGTTTTCGCGGGAAATAAATAATTTTCGCCTTCATATCTCGCGGGGCTTTCATTACATTTAATTACCCAAATTTGTCATATATATAAATATTTTTAATTCGGCCAATTCATGTAATTTATGATAATTTTTGAATTATTTATAGTTGAGAGCTTAACGACACTGCTGAAATTGTGTGGATTTATGCTGAACTTGGTCAAGGTGGGCATAATTATGTTGTGGAAATGGGAAAACTGGATGAAAACTTTTCCCACACCCCCAGCCCATGGAACTACGTGCTTTGACAGTTGTAACCAAAGGCCATTAACAAGTTTTTCTTGTTTTTCTTTGCTGGCGGTACGGTACGCCGCAGGAATTTATAAGATGTCCTGGAAAAGGTAGGCTTTCGCTTTAAAGCCATTGCCTATGCCAGGCACAAATGTTATTTTTGGCCATTCGGGTTAAATAAATTATGAGCAGACACCTTGTTTTGAGGGGGTTGAAAATTAAACACGCGCCTATCAAATAAACTTTACTTACGACTTTTCCCAGTTACCAAATTTCCTCGCAAATTTTGGAGGTTATTCTCAAGGGTTTTTTTATACAATTATTCAAGCCTCCATTTGTCACTTATTTGTTGGACTTTAAATTTAGAGGCAACAACTTTTGACTGGCTTAAACAAAGAACATTTATCAGACGGGTAATCTATGAATAATAGAAGACGAAACCGAAACCGAAACCGGATTCTGCCAAATCAGCACAAACATTTAATGGCATTAAATTCTAGCGAAAAATGTCAAAATGAATTCCACGAAGCAATGCCAAATAAGCGAAGCGAACAAGTGGAAAATTGCATTGCGGATTTTCGGATTGTTAAGCAGAGGAAAACTCAAACCCCCAAAAATCGAAGTTGTTTACCAAGAATTGC